TCAAATTTTACGTGCGGGGGGGGGGGGGGGGAATAAATCATAAACGTAGTTATGGTGAAAGGATTCAAATTCTGCCTGGCTGAGGAAGGTGGAGAGCTGATTGCTAGGAAAAAGCTCTTGATGGCAATGTTGTTTTCTCTTTTGTGCACGGAAGAATAGAGAAGAAACGTGCTGTTGTCCCCGAACTGGCAGAAGCTGTCAAAACACGAGACGGAAGAGAAGTGAACTGGGAATACTTCTATCAGCTGCTGTTTACCGTGGATAATTTAAAACTCGTACACATTGCTTGCCATAAGAAAACCACTCATCACCTCAGCTGTGACAAAACGAAAATCTACAGGAAAAGGAAGCAAAACCACAAGATTTTGTAGTGTTCTCCCTGGGAGCGACTTTGGCTTTTCTCAGAGTCTTTTCGCGTGGTATCGTTTTTACGTAGCTCTGGTTTCTTACACAAAAACTTATTTAGGAGTCCCTGGCAAGAGAGACTTGCTGAGTAATTCAACTGCGGTCCCACAAGGCTTACATTCAAATCGTGCCACATTCAAATCGTGCCACATTCAAATCGTGCCACATTCAAATCGTGCCACATTCAAATCGTGCCACATTCTCCTCTCCTGCCTTCTTAGCTCACACCATGTCAAGCAGATAAACCCCAGTGTGACACAGCCAGAACCAACACTGGTTATGCCCTGCGCTCTTCCTTGGCGTGACAAACGTAGGCCCAAAATTACAGCACACAGAAATGGCTCTTGGACAAAACACTCCTTAAAAATTCACGAGAGGACCTGTAGGCTCACAGCTCTCTGAGCATTGAGCCAAACAAAGGATACTTCAGGGTCATTACTTTCCTCTGAGCCTTTCCAAATACACAACCACTGCATTTCAGATACTCCAGATGTGCCAAAGGGTGACTCGGTGACAGCACTACCCCCTTTCCAGGCCAAACACCCCCAGACCGCACCATTTGTGGCTGCTCTGGACGTGCATCTCCCAAAAGGAAGAGGCTTTACCACCTTTCTCATCTTTCCCATTGGTTTCCCCCTCCTCTCAAACAGTTTCTGCCTTCTTAGCTTGAGTTTACTTGCAGCAACGCAAGCAGTGCTGCTGTATGATAATCAGGTTTACCTGCTGCTTCAGAGACTATTGCCTTTGTGAAGCACTTCCTACCTCAGGAAACAAAACGCAAATAGACCAATTTTTACTTGAATCTTTTTTTATCAGCTGATAGCAACTGTACTTTCAGGGATGCCATGAATTTTTGGTTGTTAAATAAATAGCCACAGCCTTTCTGTGTGTGTATGTGTATGCAGAGGTGCAGGTGTGTGATGTAAAACAGCACAGCCAATACAGACTGGAAAGAGTCTGCAGAGGGAAATGTGTTGGTGAACGCAGGTACACACTGCTGTGTAAATAACATCACTCATCTCCAGGGAAGAGCTCAGTTTTCCCTGTATCATTGCTCCTTACCCAGGTAATTCACAATGTTTGGTCACAATAACCCCATGGACGCTGCAGGC